ATTCTCTCTACCCTCCTCCCAGTTTGTTCTTGTCCAAATGCCACAGTGCTTGTCAAAGCCAGTTCTGATTAATCTTCTTTGTCAGTGTGTCCTTTGCCATTCCCTATCACTCCTCCCTGAGAGAGACTTCACCCTGAGTCATAAGGAAAAGGGGACGGCGTATTCTCTTAGCTACTTCCTGCTGAAAAGGGACGCTGTGGGTTTCAGGGTGAAGATCTTCTCTCACTACTCTAAAGGGCCCCTTTGGCAGTAGGAAACACATAGACTATTATGGAGATTGATTTTGGAAATCATCTTCCTTCTTGAGTCTGGGGTAATCATTGAGTCTGAGGTGTAAAAATGAAATTGGATCCGATTCTAAACAACAATGTTGTAAGACATACCTATGACACTGTCCAAAATTAAAACACAAACATACTAGAAAAATTAGTTTATTTTTTAGTAAATGTAACATTTTATCAAAAGAGAGCAAAATCAGAGCTGGGTCTCCCACTATACAAGTTACTTGCAAAAGAAATACTAGAAGTCCAAAAAAATAAAGCACCATAAGGATTCTCAGTAACTAGGCTTTTAATTCTTGGTAGAAAAATTGAGGGTAATTCATAATTAAGTAAAATGGACATGGAAGACTGTGTCTGAGGTGAAAAACTGTATAATTTTAGAAATATCAAACATAGTGACTGTAAATAGGTATGCACACATCAGAGTGTGAGGATGGCTCAGACAGGGCAAGGTTCAGATCTGTTGTTCATAGAAGTACTATAACTTATAGTTGACTCAAAGGCATCGAATGACAGCAAGGTGGTAGAGAAAAAATGTAACTTACTTACAGAGAAGAAACAAGTAAAATTATTAAATTTTTAAAAAATCTGTCATTCAGAACACTGAGATAGTATATACTAATAGTAATCTCCCAGAAGATCATAAATGAGTTATCTTTTTTACTTACGTTTTCTCACATAAAGAAAAACAATAAAAGTGGCCATGTGTCCAAAGTTTAGCATGGTTATTGCTGTTGTTAGGTGCCATCAAGTCGAGTACAAATGACTCATAGCAACTCCATAAACAAAAGATCTGAGGCCTGTTAAATCCTGAGCTATACTCACACTTCCTGACATACAAGAGCCCATTACAGCAGTCAACGTGTCAATCCACCTTGTTGCTGACCCTCCATCTTTCCCAACATTATGTTCTTTTCCAAGGAATAGCACCTCCTAGCAATATGTCCAAAGTATGTGCAGTGAAGCCTCATCATTCTTGACTCCAAAGAACACTCCAGCTGCAACCTATCCAAGGCATATCTATTTGTTCCTCTGGCTGTCCATGAGATGGATGTTCAGTGCTTTTCTTCAACACCACAACTCAAGGGCATCAATAGTTTTTCTGTCATCCTTATTCATTGTCCAGGCCTCAGATGGAAAGCTAGTAATCGGAAAAGACTATGGCCTGAATCAGATGCACCTTTATCCTCAAACTGACATCACTACTCCTCAAAAATTTGGACAAGTCCCTAACTGTCGATTTTCCCAGTGCAATGTGTCTCCTTATTTCCTGTCTATTCATACCAAGGATGTTATTTAGTCCAAGCAAGATGAAGCTGCTGACAGTTTCAATCTCTTGTCCATCCATGACACTGCCTATTGGTCCAGGATCGGAATATTTTTTTTTTAATTGAGACGCAATCCATACTGAAGGCTACATTCCTTAATCTTCTGCAACAAGTGCTTCAAGTCCTCCTCACTTTTCAGCAAGCAAGGTTGTGTCATCTGCATAATGCAGGTTATTGACAAGTCTCCCTACAACCCTGATGCCACATTCTTCTTCATAGAGCCCAGCTTCTTGGATAATTTGCCCAGCATATAGATTGAACAGTTATGGAGATAGAATACAATGCTGACACATTTCCTTCCCAATTCCAAACCATGCAGTGCTCCCCTGCTCTGTTCACACAACAGCCTCCTGGTGCAGGTAGAGGTTCCACATGAGCACAATCAAGTGGTCTGGGATTCTCATTCTTCTCAATGTCAGCCATATCTTGTCATAATCCACATAGTCAAATGTCTTGGCATAGTCAGTAAAGCACAAATAGACATTCATCTGATATTCTTTACTTTCAGCCAGGATGTACTTGACACTACCAATGATGTACCTGGTGTCACGGCCTCTTCTAAATCCCAATTAAACTTTTGGAAATTCCCTATCTATGTACTGTTCCAGCTAATTTTGAATGATCTTCAGCAGTATTTTCCTTGCATGTGATATCAATGATATTGTTCCATAATTTCCACGTTTAGTTGTATCACCCTTCTTGGGAATAGGAACAAATATGGACTTCTTCCAATCTGTTGACCAGATAGCCATTTTCCAAATATCCTGCAATACATGCATGGTAAGTGCATCCAAGGCTGCATCTGTTAACCAAAATAAGTTGGTGCCTTATTTTCTGCCAGTGCCTTCAAGGGAGCTTCCACTTCCTCTTTTATTACCATTGGCGCCTGTTCATGCAGTACTTCCTGAACTTTTCTGATATGAATCAATTATTTCTGGTACAGTGACTCTGTGTATTCTCTCTATCTTCTTTTGATGTTTTCCAGGTCATTCTATATATGGCCCAAAGCATCGTTCAACAATGCAACACAAGGCTTAAAACTGTTTTTTAATTCTCTTCTGACATCCATTTAGATTTTTTTTCTTTCTCCTCTGATTTTTTAATGATCTTTTGTTTTCTTCATGGATACTATCCCACAACTTATCTGGTCTTCGATCACTGGTGTCCGATACCAAACCTATTCTTGAAATTCTGATGGAATTGATTCAAGAGCATATCTTGGTTCCTGGGGACTTAGTTTCATTTTCTTCAGCCTCAATTTGAACTTGTGTATGAGTAATGATGAGCTGACTCATAATCTGTCCCTGGCCTAGTTTTGACTGCTGATATTGAGCTTCTCCAACGATATCCTCCACAAGTGTAGTAAATTCCATTCCTATGCAGCCCAATGGGTGAAATCCATGTGAAGTTGGATCCTGGTCATTAAGTGTTTGTGATTTATTTGAATGCCTGGAGTAAATTGTTTGGGCATGTCTAATTGTGTTAGCAAGTATAAGCTGTTTAACTATATCTAATCTTCTTTACAATCAGTTTCGGTGGGAGTCTCTTGTGTGGGCAAACAGAATCTGGTGGGCGGCCTTTGTATTTTTTTTTAAAAGTAGGTTTGGTCCTATCTGTGAGTGAGCCAAGTTCGATCCTGGTGGGTAAGTGTGATAAAAGACTTTTAGCACGGTAGCAAGCAATAAATGTTTGGAAAGGATATGAAGAGATGGGAACACTCGTACATTGTTGGTGGGATTGAAAAATGGTACAACCACTTTGGAAGGCAGTTAGAGTTCCCTCAAAATAGGTGAATACTGAAACTCCTTATAACCCAGCTATTCCACAACTAGGAATATACCCCCAGCAAATTAGAAATGAGAAACTTAGGAAGATTTGTACATCCATGTCCATGGCAGCATTACTCACCATTGCAACAACATGGAAAGAGCCCAAATGTCCAACCACAACTGAATAGATTGAGAAATTGTGATACATTCACCCAATGGAATACTATGCATCACTCAGGAGCAACAATTTTGAAAAATACTACATAACTTGGGAGAGACTGTAGAGCATTATGCTGAGTGAACTATCTTCGTTTCATAAGGACAAATACTGAATAAGACAATTACTGTAAAAATAGAAGGATAACTAGTAAAACATGTATGCCTTTGAGCTTTGGTGTTAGAGAAGAGTTTTGAGGGTACCATGGTCTGCTAAGAAAACAAACAGATTCATCTTGGAGAGGGTTAAACCCGGCTGCTCCTTGGAGGCAAGGATTCTGAGGCTTCGTCTGACATACTGGTCATGTTGTAAGGAGAGACTGGTCCTTGGAGAAGGACATCATGCTTGGGAGGGTGGAGGGCAGGCGCAGGAGGGGAAGGTCCTCTAGAAGATGGACTGATTCGGTGACTGGGGTAATTGGGATGAGTGTGTTGGAGACAATGAGATTGGCACAGGACCGAACAGAGTTTAGGGCTGTTGTACATAGGGTCGCCATGAGTCGCAAGTGACTCGACAGCACTTAACAATAACAACAATGCATGGGAATGATTATATGAAGCCCAATGTGAATGAAGGATAGCATGAAACCCAATGTATATTAGCTTTGTAAACAAACCAATATAAAATGAAAATTTAAGAAAAACCAATAATATGATTATAAAAAAAAGAAAAGTAGCCATGTTGTCAAAATGAGCACACTATTTTATGGAAATTTTATTTTTTTTATACATCAAAAGCATATAGATGTATTAAAAAACACGATTTTAGGTTTTTTTACTGTAATTTCAAGGAACACTGGTGACCTACTGAGTTACCAGTTCAAAAAAGATTAGCAGTTCAAATCTACCAGTGGCTTGGAGGAAGAAAGATGAGATCACCTAACACTGTTATGATTTAGAGCAGAAATGTCAAAAGCCTGATGGAGGATCGCCATGAAGTGCAATTGACTGGAAGGCAGTGGGTTGAATTTCTAAATGGGCTATAATTTCAAGAATTCTGGTGTCACAATGGTTAAAACACTCAGATACACACTAAAAGGTGGGTATTTTGAACGTATCTGGTGCTCACTAGGAGAAACATGTGGCAGTGTGTTTTTATAAATATTATCTAGTCCTGGAAACCCTAAGAGGCAGTTGTGCTCTGTCCATCATGAGTAAGAATTGACACAATGATGGCTTCTATGCTAATTTTGTTTTACACACTACAATAAACACTGAATTCAGAGGATTTATTCCTTCTTGTAACTTACATATTTCTTATTAAAAGGATGTAAAAATGGAATTGGATCAGATTTAACAGATCCATATAAATATTCTGGACATTTTATTAGAAACAAATTTTAAGTTGTTTGTATGTGAAAATATTTACAATGTTCTTAAAATACTAAAACATTAAAATTTCTTACCTGGTCCAGGACAATGATTTCATCTGCATCAATGACTGTCGACAATCTATGTGCAATGAATATAGAAGTTCTGTGTTTGACTACATCCTTCATGGCACCAAGAATCATCTACAAGTGTGACAAGAAAATTAGAAGGAATAATAAATGTACTTATGCAACTGAAATTATCATGTATTTTCAAGAAGAGAATATAAATGCCAATAAAAAAGTTTGTAACTATACCAATAAGTTACATGACCCAATCTCATAATCTATTAGTAATTACTAAGAAGAAAAGAAAGTACAGTAAAACCAAATTCTAAATATGAACATTTTTACTGGAAAAAATTATCTTTAAGAAAAGCAAAAGTGTTCTCTTCAATTAGTCAGGTCTTCTAAATTTCCAGGCATACACTGGTGATCAAGCCCAGGGCTGCATCTGTTAGTGGAAACATCCTAATTGGTATCACATTGGCTTCTGGGGTCTTATGTTTTCATAATGGCTTCAGTGCAACTTGAACTTCTTTGGTCATTACTAATGGTACATGATCCTATGTTACTTCTTGAAACGGTTCTGTAGAAGCCAAATGATTTAGAAACAGGAACTCTGTATATTCCTTCCATCTTCATTGATGATACATGGATCATACAAGATTTTGCCCAAAGAATCCTTCAATAATGCAACTCAAGGCATGAATCTATTTTTTAGTTACTTTAGTTTCAGAAATGCTGAGCAAGTTATTTCCTTTTTATGTTTTAACTTAAACTCTTTGTACAGCCCATCAGAATATTTTGCTTTTTGTCTTTTTGCGTTCCTCTTTGAAATCTTCATCTCCTTTACTTGGACATTTCTTCCCTTTGATTTGGATTCTCGACAATCCTGTGCAATTTTCATATATTCTTCTGATTCCAGTTTTTGTCTTTTCTGTCTCCTGTGTCTTTGTAATAACTTCTTGTCTTCTTCACTGTCATCCCATGACTCGTCTGATCTTCAATCATTGTTGTTTAATGCCTAAAACCTATTCTTGAGATGATTTTTAAATTCTGGTCTAACAAATTCAAGATTGTATTTTTATTCTTGTGGACATGTTTTCATTTTCTTCAGCTTCAATTGGAACTTACACATAAGGCCTTGTTTTCATTGCAGTTGACCTTCTCCTAAAATTTTTTCCACGAATGTAGTCAATTTGATTGCTGTCAAATGAGGCTCATGTGTATAGTTGCTGTTTGTGTTTCATAAAAACGGTATTTACAATTAAGATATTATTGATTGTACAAAATTTAATCAATCTATCTCCAGTGTAATTTGTCACCAAGTCTGTAATTTCCAACTGCCAATTGTTCTTCATTTCAAATTTTTGTATTACAGTGACCAATTGTTATTAATACATCTTAATTACAAGTTCAGTCAATTTCAGACTGTAGAAGTTGGTACTTCCTCATCTTTTGAAGAGTATATTTGTTGCAGCATATATTTGAATAAGAGACCAAAAATATCCCAGAAAGAGAGACCAAAAGGTATTCCATGTATTTATGTGTATAGTTTCCTATCCTTCACAGCATTGTACATCAGAATAGATCTTGAAGTAGCTTTTATCCCTATAAATTAAACATTATTATACCTCAATTTTTTTTATTTGCAGTACAACAGACTGTCTCGTTCACAGTGGTCAATTCCAGTTTATTTCAGCTCATGAATGCTTAGAATATTGATCTAAATTTATTGCATTTCATTTTTTTTTTACAACTTCTAGTTTTCCTAGGTTCATAATTTGTTCATTCCACATTCCAATTATTATTAGATGTCTACAACTGTTTCTCCTCATTTTGAAGGACTAACTCTGGGATCTAACTCCACTACCATATTAGTGTTCCTCTATTGGGCAGAGGGTATATGACAGCCTATTAGTTAGTAGTGCATAGCCAATCCTATTTCCTTGCCCTTCTTAACCTGATTGTTGTTATATGGTGTCATCAAATACAACTGATAGTAACACTATGAAAAGCCAACCTGAACCTATCCTAATGTGTGCCATCGTCATGATTTCTGAGACACCGGAAAAAACTCCTGAAGTCACAGTGTCAATCCATCTCAAGAGGAATCTTCCTCTCCCTCACTGATGATCCATCTCTCCAAGAATGATGTCCCTTTCCAAGTCCAAAGTAAGAAGGATGAAGCTTTATCATTTTAATCTGTTGTTATGTGCCACTGAGTCACCTGAAACTCATAGTGACCCTATGTACAACAGCTCTGAACCCTGCCCTATGCTGAGCCAGTCTCACTGACTCTGCAACACCTAATCCCATTGCCCTAGTTATAATGTCAATCCATCTCCTTCGTGGTCTTCCTTTCCTATACTGTCCCTTCACCCTTCCAAGCATGATGTCCTTCTCCAAGGACTGGTCCCTCCTGGCCACATGCCCAAAGTATGGGAAGATGGACCTTGAAAATCCTTGCCTACAGGAGAGGAGACAGTTGATTTCACCCTCTCCAAGACAGAACTGTTTGTTCTTTTGGCGCTCTATGATATTTTCAACACTCTTCTCCAGCACTACAACTCAAAGGTATCAATTCTTATCCAGATAGTTCCCTAAGATCTTCTTTGCACAGCCAATAAAACAAAAATAGACATCCTTCTGGTACTCTCTGCTTTTAGGAAAAATCCACCGGAAATCATCAATGTTATCTCTATTGCTATAGCATCTTCTAAAAGCACCTTGTGTTTCTGGAAGTTCTCTATGGCTGTTTTGCGATAAACTTCAGCAAGATATTCCTTACATCTAATATTAATAATATTGTTTGATAATTTCCACATTCTGTTGCATCACTTTTTTTGAGAATGGGAATAAATATGGATCTCCTTCAATCAGCTGGCAAGATAACTGTCATTCAGATTTCTTGGCACAAGCTGGCGAGCACCTAAATCCAGGGATGTATTTGTTTCTTGAAATATGTCAGCTGGTATTCCATCAATTCCTAGGGCCTAATTTTTTGCCTATCCCTTCAGAGCAGCTTGAAGTTCTTTTATTACTACTGGTTCTTGAACACATGCTACTTCCTGAAATGGCTCTGTATCAGTCAATGTTTTTGGCACAGGTGTCCATGCATTCCTTCCATCTTCCTTTGACTGTTCCTGAGTAAGGAACAACATATAAATCATTCCCAAACTCAACAAACTGACAGATAAATGGTGGACTCCAAAGAGCAAACTACAAAACCAATTAGGCTTAAAATATCATGGAGTAGGGCAACCCTCTCTGGCTTGTTATTATAAAATCTATTAAATGAAAATTAAAAAAAAATAAAATGTCAGTGATTGAAGGCAATTAACAAATAACATCTACCTAGCTTCAGTTGCGGATTAAGTGGATTTCTTTATGAATTTACCATTGAGAGCATTGTTGTATTTAATGAAAAGATATAATCATAAAATGTAAAGCAGTTGCTAAGGTAGGGCCATGATATCAATACAACAGAATCTTGATATTTGACAACAAATAAGAACTGACACAAGAACTACCAGTTTTAAGTGTATGACTTCAACTTTTGGAGATTTTTCTCTAGGATGAGCAAAAATTGTTCTGCTATAGATTGTATTACAATCATTTACATACTTATTTTAATGTTGTTTAGGTGATACCTACAAGAGAAGGATAAAAATTTTTAATGTTACCAATTCCTACAGAAATGTGAGGATAATACAACCCTATAAGGTGTCATAGAGCAAAAAAAGGAGACACTTAGGTACTTGACAATTTATTTATCAATTTAATCAACATATGTTATATCATGAAAAAAGTGTGAGTTATTTTGTTCCCAAGCATCTTCAACTGAAAGTCATTAAAAGCACAAAGAGAAAAGTTAAACACTGAGAACTGGAGAGCGCTAAATATTTTAATCATTACTTACCTCTTCGGTAATTGAATCTAATGAGGAAGTGGCTTCATCATAGAGAATGACAGGAGGGTCCTTCAAAATGGCTCTTGCAATTGCTACTCTTTGCTTTTCTCCTCCTAGTGAAAAAATTTTATGTAAAGAAGAATAATACAAAGACTTCATTTTGATTTTAGTGTTTCCATTAACTATATCACAAACTAATAACCCTCCACTCCCGATAATGATTTATTTTATAGAGTTGTGGAGCTCAAGTTCATTCTTCTAAAAACTCTGATTCACAATTATTCCCCTCAACAGAAATAGGGTTCAATTAGTAAATGAGTAAAAAGTTCAAATTTAAAAATTTCAAAATTAGGGAAATAACAAAATAAAAAAAAATTCAATATGTGAAAACTGAAATACTGAAAACATGGTAATCTCAATTACCTCTTAATATAAAACAAACTGCATTCAACCAGTATTCTCAAAAGAATATTTTTTAGAAAGAAGCTATCATCATGGCTTAATTTCAAGACATATACATGACACCACAACAAGATAAAGGTAAATAATCCAATAGAAAAATGGGCACAGGATATGAACAGGCACTTCACTGAAGACGACATTCAGATGGCTAACAAACACATGAAGAAATGCTCAAAATCCCTAGCCCTAAGAGAGATGCAAATTAAAACAACTATGAGATATCAT